CCGTGGCTGAGGAACGAGAGATGTTTAAGCGGCAGGCGGCCGAGGATTGGGAGACCATCCTCGTACATAGAGCTAGAGAGCTGCGACCAGGTACAACGAAGATGATCTATACCCAGACTCCTACTTGACTGCCCTTACATCTGACATGCTCAACGTTTTAACTGCCTTTACTCCTAATTTCTCTCCCTAATCCTACTAGCCAAGTCTATTTGCTATACATCACCATAATCATACCTCTATAATCTTAATATAATTCAATTTTCTAAACTTATCAATAACATTCATTCTAACCATAATCCTAACTTTACATTACTCCTGACCTTATCCACCATCCTAATGTCTAAGGCTAATTTCTAATCTTAATCTTAATCCCATTCTTAAAGCTAATTTCAAACACTGACGCTAACCCTCTTTCTAACCAAAATCTATAAGCATAGGTTTTAACTATAAGCGTGAACCTAGCCATAACCCAGATTTACAAGTCTAATTTCTAACCATAACCCTAACCCTAATCTGTAATTTCTGTCACGGAATCTCGAGTACTCTAGACGGATATACTACGCTGCTGATGAGACCGTGAAAATGATCGTGCTGTTACAGGTGGACGGCTGGTGATAGCTCTTTTGGCCACGGATAAAGATAAGCAGTACACGGGAAACACGAAACGTATTAAGTGCAATGGCTACAACCTTTTGTCAAAACAGTGCCGCGAATTGGTGAATAAAGGCGTTATTACTAAGGTATTTCCCATCGAAATAATACATAAGATAGGCTAATAATATTTAATCGAGTCTTTTGGACACCGAAAGTTTCTAGATAAATATTCGAATAATATCTCCAGCACAACCTAGGCTCTCCTTGCCACTACACTAAGACGTAGATTTGGACTTTTCTTATAACCAATATGTACATATTTATCCTGTGTTGCGCTTTCAGGAAGAGTTTCAGAACATGAACATCAACGCTTACTATCGCACAGAGGAAGAACTGAAGGAGCCTCTGATCAATGTCGATTCTCCTGTTTATAAGCTTGGCCTCCGCCTGGTATCGATTGAAGTAAAGCAAGTCAACTGCTACTTCCACGATAGATGGGTTGAAAGCGGCAATGATGGTTAGTAAATGCACATTAGTTTAACATTTATGTACTGAGCAGGTGTATAAGCTATAAATGACGATGTGTAGCTATGTAATGCGGTGAGGCAACATTATTTTAGAGCCGGGTGTAGGCGACAGCAGTCGCTGAGAAAAGTGTCTGATCTCTTACAAGGTCCATCACACCCGACGCCTATTCGATAGACATCGCATAAGCTGTTCTTCATTAGTACATGGTTCCTTGCTTCTCCCTTACATTTTCCCCATCCTCAGAGTCCTTATGATCCCTTTTCGTATTTGCTATAGATATGATACATCATAAAACCCAGCCTATGTTCTACATAAATATCGGTCTCTCTTGCCTGCTCTCTGGGTGTGTTGTCGTTTCCTACTGGCTACAGGTCGTTTAGTTTGTCTCTTTTAGAGCTATAGTGGAAGTTTTTTATTCTCCGACTTAAGTAAACCCCCTGAATTGATTCATTTGAATTTGACTCATTGGTTGTAACAACCATACAATGCATCTTAAACTTTGACTTTTGCCTCGGAGAAGCTATGCTACCTTGGTGTTTGTACCATTTTGCTGCCCCCAGGTGGTCACCCCTTCTTCCCATCGAAGTTGACAATTGTCAGAAATTGCTTTGCCCCCATATTATCTTTCTTTCCCGTGGATAGGTCCCGCAGTTTGTCCGAGCATGGGCTACACCGCCATGGCACATTATGGTCACGATTGGCTTGATCAGGAAAAGTAGGGGATTTTCTACACCCAGTCGCAGCATGGCTGGCTAGCAGTCAGGCGGGTCTTTATTGCTGATGTTTGCATGGTTACTGCCAGCCTGCTCTGTTTAGCTGTCTACGACCACTCACGGTCTTCCTTCTCCGCAAATTATTAACCTACACTCATATCTCGGCCTATGATCCCTTTTCGTATTTGCTATAGATATGATACATCATACAAGCCCAGCCTATGTTCTACATATATATCGGTCTCTCTTGCCTGCTCTCTGGCTGTGTTGTGGTTTCCTACTGGCTACAGGCCATTTAGTTTGTCTTTTTTAGAGCTATAGTGGAGGTTGTCCATTCTCCGACTTAGGTAACCCCCCTGAATTGATTTATTTGAATTTGACTCATTGGTTGTAACAACTATGCAATGCATCTTAAACTTTGACTTTTGCCTCGGAGAAGCTATGCTAGTATGCTACCTTGGTGTTTGTACCATTTTGCTGCCCCTTCTTTCCCTCGAAGTTGACAATTGTCAGAAATTGCCTTGCCCCCATATTCTCTTTCTTCCCCGTGGATAGGTCCCGCAGTTTGTCCGAGCATGGGCTACACCGCCATGGTACAATATGGTCACGATTGGCTTGATCAGAAAAAGTAGGGGATTTTCTGCACCCAGTCGCAGCATGGCCGGCTAGCAATCAGGCGGGTCTTTATTGCTGATGTTTGCATGATTACTGCCAGACTGCTCTGTTTAGCTGTCTACGACCACTCGCGGTCTTCCTTCTCCGCTAATTCTTGACCTACACTCATATCTCGGCCGTCTGGGTGTACACTTCCAAGCACAAGTTCCCAGGCATAATAGTCGACTCTATTTGTCAGGGATGCACTAATGAAACAGGAACGCTCTAGTAACTAGAGTCTGTTCCAGTGGTACTAATATGACTTCTCCTCCTGTAAAGTATCAACAATATTGGCATAATTGGTATTCCCACACCAACTACCTTGGCATAAATTATCCTGGCAAAAGTGAGGTCAGGCATCTGTGATTCCTAAATCTGGATCAAGCTTCACTGGGAAGAGTCAGAGGTTTCCCCAGGAGGCTCAGGCTGGTCTAGCGATGGTCTTCCAGACCAACGTCAGCTTACCTGTTAGACATGCTTCATCAGCATGTCCGCACAATCCCACTTACATATCATACACGCTGCCACAACTCTCACGTCTCTTTCCACCTATAGGTGGTGTCTACCCAGGACACGTTAGTTAGGAGGCCCGACACTGTTGCAAACTCAGCAGCTGAGTATGGGTGGGTGTTTCTATCCATTAATAGTCTTCTACTGCAATCATCTTCTGTCCATGTGGTGTATCATAGTCCTGATACACACATATTTACATGATGTTTTATCGTACTGCAATAAATCGTTATAAATCGACGCCGCTACAGACAAAATGACGAGATAAATAATTCCTACCTGATGTGTATAGTATTTATCGTGTGCAACAGTTTTTGTTTGCTTTTTAGATGTAAAGACGTGAATGCTAATCATTTTATTTAACTGCCAGGTGACATTGCTGAGGCTCGTGCTCNCAGTGAGCGGCGAGTCAGCAGCAGGCGAGTCAGTCAGCAGCAGCCACCAGCGAGCACATACATGTTACATGCTCGCGGAGCTATGCACTCTCCGTGAGTGCCCTCTGTCTAGTTAGTACATGGTTCCCTGATTCTCCCTTACATTTTCCTCATCCTCAGAGTCCTTATGATCCCTTTTCGTATTTGCTATAGATATGATACATCATAAAACCCAGCCTATGTTCTACATATATATCGGTCTCTCTTGCCTGCTCTCTGGCTGTGTTGTCGTTTCCTACTGGCTACAGGCCGTTTAGTTTGTCTCCTTTAGAGCTATAGTGGAGGTTGTCCATTCTTCGACAAAAGTAAACCCCCTGAATTGATTCATTTGAATTTGACTAATTGGTTGTAACAACCATACATACAATGCATCTAAAACTTTGACTTTTGCCTCGGAGAAGCTATGCTACTTTGGTGTTTTTACCATTTTGCTGTCCCAGGTCGTCACCCCTTCTTCCCCTCGAAGTTGACAATTATCAGAAATTACCTTGCCCCCATATTATCTTTCTTCCCCGTGGATAGGTCCCGCAGTTTGTCCGAGCATGGGCTACACCGCCATGGCACATTATGGTCACGATTGGCTTGATCAGGAAAAGTAGGGGATTTCCTGCACCCAGTCGCAGCATGGCTGGCTAGCAGTCAGGCGGGTCTTTATTGCTGATGTTTGCATGGTTACTGCCAGCCTGCTCTGTTTAGCTGTCTACGACCATTCACGGTCTTCCTTCTCCGCTAATTCTTAACCTACACTCATATCTCGGCCGTCTGGGTGTATACTCCCAAGCACAAGTTCCCAGACATAATAGTCGACTCTATTTGTCAGGGATGCACTAATGAAACAGGAACGCTCTAGTAACTAGAAGTATGTTCCAGTGGTACTAATATGACTTCTCATCGTGTAAAGTATCAACAATATTTTGGCATAATTGATATTCCCACGCGAACTACCTTGGCATAAATTATCCTAGCAAAAGTGAGGTCAGGCATCTGTGATTCCTAAATCTGGGTCAAGCTTCACTGGGAAGAGTCAGAGATTTTCCTAGGAGGCTCAGGCTGGTCTAGCAATGGTCTTCCAGGCCAACGTCAGCTTATCCGTTTAACATGCTTTATCAGCATGTCCGCACAATCCCACTTACATATCATACATGCCCCGCTGCACACCTCTCACATCTCTTTCCACCTATAGGTGGTGTCTACCCAGGACACGTTAGTTAGGATGCCTGACACTGTTGCAAACTCAGCAGCTGAGTATGGGTGGGTGTTTTTATCCATTAATAGTCTTCTACTGCAGTCATCTTCTGTCCATGTGGTGCATCATCATAATCCTGATACACACATATTTATATGATGTTTTATCGTACTGCAATAAATCGTTATAAATCAACGCCGCTACAGACAAAATGACGAGATAAATAATTCCTACCTGATGTGTATAGTATTTATCGTGTGCAACAGTTTTTGTTTGCGTTTTAGATATAAAAGACGTGAATGCTAACCATTTTATTTAACTGCCAGGTGACATTGCTGAGGCCCGTGCTCACGCGAAGTCGTATGTTAGTTCGTTTCGCATTTGGGCGCACAGCGAATTGCTTCACGGTCTATCCGATAGCCGTTCACCCGAGGAGAAGGCAAATATCCTCGACGCCTTCTTCCAGAGTTTTGAGGATGCAGTGGCAGAGAATCCGCGAGACCATGGCAAGGATTATATTGTTGCTTATGTTCATATGAGAAAACTGGAATGATATTTTAGTAGATTTGAACACATGCAATTTGGTGTTTAATGGGGAATTGAAGCGCGTCATGTAGTTAACCAACAGTAAAATCATGTAATAATCTTCACTATATGTGGTGGATCAAAACTCGGGGGTCTAAACACAAAAGTGTAAACTTACATAAATAACAAATAAATAAATAAAACTCAACATAAGAATGCTGCGAATTGTGTAGGCCCTACGTGATAAATTAATTATCTATTGCGTGACGCTGCTCTCTTTCGTGACAATGCGGTCCTTTACCAACTCATGTTCTTGACACCTTTGTGCTCTCACCGCGTGTCATCATTGGGCTACTGATCAATCCCAGATTGGTTTTCACTTGATAGTAATCATCACGTGACCACACTAGCATCTCCACATGGATGCTTTTCATGGCAAAATCAACAACACAATAGCATCAATAATCTAATCTAAATTATTTCGCTCCGCTCATGCACTATGCTCGCAATCACTGACATTAGCCGGCACTAAAATTGTTCTGCCTACAACCCGCATCATAATTGTCAGCATGATCATACATGCAGATTGCGAAGGGAGCGAGTGAAGCCAATGAGATTCGAACCACAATTTTGCTTGCGTTTCCTCCACACCGGTGAATGAAGCAGTGAATGTCATATTTCCCCGTCCCTTGCCTGAGCTGCGCCCCTCTGCTTTGATCTGCTGCTACGCTCGTTCTATTACGTACATCAGCTGCATCTGACTATTCACCCGGCAAATGGACTCAAGGTCAACAAGAATATTAATTTATGATGGTCGTTGCCACCAGGACATGCCTTCCCCATGCGTTGGGGAAATATGGCGCTATCCAATACTTACATAAAGTGCCCAATGGGAATATAGGAAGAGTGGTTAGTTTCATAGTGAGCAATCTACAAATAATCATAACTGATACACTAATTTAAATTAATTTAAAAAACAACTCTGAGTTTAATCTCAACAATAATTATGCGTAAAATCATCATCTGATCACATCGTACAGCGCACAGTAAGCGCCTTCCCTTTGAGTTACTGCTGTTTGACATTTTACCGTAATTTTCACCAATTGTAGCTACGCTGGTCGGCGCCGGTCGGTAATAGCCGGCTCTGGTGTTGGCCGACCGGCACGCAGCTTTAAATAACATCCTTCCGACCCGCCCAAAAATGATTGAGTTTGTGTAAAATTACCTTCAGTATTAGAGGTAAGCATTATGGAACGTTAGAAACGTTTACTTTCAATGCTAGCTTATTGTATAAACTAACATTTCATGTACTAGTAGTCATTTCAATAAAGTACTAGAATTAATTACTGCACGATGTACTTTCCAGCGATATGAGAGGCGTTTACTAACATTTTGACCATCCGGAGGAATAAAAACTTATTTCATTAATGTCAACAACAAAGACTTTCACTAGGAAAGGAACACACCTGTGTTTATAGGAACGTTCTCAATTTGGTACATTTCAAGATTTCAGATTTTAAGATCAATTTGTATTTGTTTTCTCTTCGTGTAACATTTTCAGTAGATTTCATAACACCCAGTAAACGCATGTGCTTATGCTATATGTGCATGGTCCGTAATTGAACACTTTATACCCCTTTGTATGATGTGTTGAAAAGAATTAGGATCTAAGGTCTACAACTCCGTGTTTGGTGAGAACTGTGTAATGGGCTTAGTCTATAATAATCCGGAGTAACAGGATTTAAACAAATTACTCTTCGCTTAATTTCTGCTTACAATTTGGAGGAAATATACACGCCATGCACATCGCAGATGAGAGTGATTTTTTTAAACTTGATATCAAAGCCACTGAAACTATTTTCACGGAATAACTCCCGCGCTGGTCGGCCATGATATTGACATCTAGTATTGNTAAAATGATTAGCATTCACGTCTTTACATCTAAAAAAACAGACAAAAACTGTTGCACACGATAAATACTATACACATCAGGTAGGAATTATTTATCTCGTCATTGTGTCTGTAGCGGCGTCGATTTATAACGATTTATTGCAGTACGATAAAACATCATGTAAATATGTGTGTATCAGGATTATGATGATGCACCACATGGACAGAAGATGATTGCAGTAGAAGACTATTAATGGATAGAAACACCCACCCATACTCAGCTGCTGAGTTTGCAACAGTGTCGGGCCTCCTAACTAACGTGTCCTGGGTAGACACCACCTATAGGTGGAAAGAGACGTGAGAGGTGTGGCAGCGTGTATGATATGTAAGTGGGATTGTGCGGACATGCTGATGAAGCATGTTAAACAGGTAAGCTGACGTTGGTCTGGAAGACCATCGCTAGACCAGCCTGAGCCTCCTGGGTAAACCTCTGAGGGATGTCTGACCTCACTTTTGCCAGGATAATTTATGCCAAGGTAGTTGGTGTGGGAATACCAATTATGCCAAAATATTGTTGCTACTTTACAGGAGGAGAAGTCATATTAGTACCACTGGAACAGACTCTAGTTACTAGAGCGTTCCTGTTTCATTAGTGCATCCCTGACGAATAGAGTCGACTATTATGCCTGGGAAATTGTGCTTGGGAGTATACACCCAGACGGCCGAGATATGAGTGTAGGTTAATAATTTGCGGAGAAGGAAGACCGTGAGTGGTCGTAGACAGCTAAACAGAGCAGGCTGGCAGTAACCATGCAAACATCAGCAATAAAGACCCGCCTGACTGCTAGCCAGCCATGCTGCGACTGGGTGCAGGAAATCCCCTACTTTTCCTGATCAAGCCAATCGTGGCCATAATGTGCCATGGCGGTGTAGCCCATGCTCGGACAAACTGCGGGACCTATCCACGAGGAAGAAAGATAATATGGGGGCAAGGCAATTTCTGACAATTGTCAACTTCGAGGGGAAGAAGGGGTGACCACCTGGGGCAGCAAAATGGTACAACCACCAAGGTAGCATATCTTCTCCGAGGCAAAAGTCAAAGTTTAAGATGCATTGCATGGTTGTTACAACCAATGAGTCAAATTCAAATGAATCAATTCAGGGGGTTTACTTAAGTCGGAGAATGGACAACCTCCACTATAGCTCTGAACGAGACAAACTAAACGGCCTGTAGCCAGTAGGAAACGACAACACACCCAGAGAGCAGGCAAGAGAGACCGATATATATGTAGAACATAGGCTGGCCTTGTATGATGTCTCATATCTATAGCAAATACGAAAAAGGATCATAAGGACTCTGAG